CCCCCCCAACCAGTATTAACAATAATAATTTTAAACCGAAAAAAACTTAATGTTTATGAAACGTTTGTGTATAATGCATAATTACTCCAAGTCAAATAAAGGGTTTGGTGCATTTTTTTCGCAATTATTGCTTCTTCGATTGTATATTTTACCCCTCAAAAAATGTCAAAATAAAAATTCATTTATTTATATGTTTACATACAAATATTCTGAAGAACTCATAGAAAGCAAATTATGATTAGTGAATAAGAAGAAACAAACACGCATTTGAAACTTCTGTGACAGCACAGGAGACACCTAAACATCCCACACAAAAAGAAAACAATGGCTGAGATATTTGAAAAAATGACATCAACTGTCATCATCGAATGTCGTCGGTGAAAAAAGCAGGGATATGGTTATCAATGAAAAGAAAATTCACTTTTGGAAAATCGAATACGTCATGCTTTTAGAACAGCTTTCATGCAGTAGTAAGCCAACACTTTTTCGTCATGTTGTCATAATAACAATAATCGAAATTTGCATTGGTTTGTATTCTACCGCAGTGTTTGATCTGACAGGGCCTCCGTAAGTTTCCTGGTGTGACATGAACCTTATCGCCAGGAGTTAAACTTTCACAAACGTGTGCATCATGTCGCTCCTTATATTGATAGCGGTGGCAAGTCTCCATATTGTGGTCGGTAAGTAAAATCTATTTAAATCTGAAATAGCCACATAGACAAATTGTGTTCTTTCAAGCTAAGACACGGGTTCTACATAAAACATGTCAATGATATTCTTGAGAGTAAACAATCCAATTAGTCCAAGAAGATGCCTAAATCACATGGTCCTTGTTTCTGTGCTTTCGTGGCAGTTGTATGTAAACTGCTTCATATTAGAGTCCGTAAAGTTAGTCAATATCTACAGACATGCTTATATTCTTTTGTAGATAAAGAATAGAAATCAATTTCATTTCTCGACATTTACCCTTTACAATGGCTGTTGCAACTCTTTGTTAGCTAGTTGGCTGGCCGTTTTGGCGACAGCAATATATTTGTTAGCTAGTTGGCTGGCCGGTTTGCCGACAGCAATAGATTTGTTAGCTAGTTGGCTGGCCGGTTTGGCGACAGCAATATATTTGATTGCTAGTTGGCTGGCCGCTTTGGCCACAGCAATAGATTTGATTGCTAGTTGATTGGCCGGTTTGGCGACAGCAATATATTTGTTAGCTAGTTGGCTGGCCGCTTTGGCGACAGCAATATAATTGTTAGCTAGTTGGTTGGCCGGTTTGGCCACAGCAATATATTTGTTAGCTAGTTGGCTGGCCGCTTTGGCGACAGCAATATATTTATTAGCTAGTTGGCTGGCCGGTCTGGCGACAGCAATAGAATTGTTAGCTAGTTGGTTGGCCGGTTTGGCCACAGCAATATATTTGTTAGCTAGTTGGCTGGCCGCTTTGGCGACAGCAATATAATTGTTAGCTAGTTGGTTGGCCGGTTTGGCCACAGCAATATATTTGTTAGCTAGTTGGCTGGCCGGCTTGGCGACAGCAATAGATTTGTTAGCTAGTTGACTGGCCGGTTTGGCGACAGCAATAGATTTGTTGGCTACTTGGTTGGCCGGTTTGGCGACAGCAATATATTTGTTTGCTAGTTGGCTGGCCGCTTTGGCCACAGCAATAAATTTGATTGCTAGTTGATTGGCCGGGTTGGCGACAGCAATATATTTGTTAGCTAGTTGGTTGGCCGGTTTGGTGACAGCAATAGATTTGTTATCTAGTTGTTTGGCGGTTTGACTACAGCAATAGATTTGTTAGCTAGTTGGTTGGCCGGTTTGGGGACAGCAATAGATTTGTTAGCTAGTTGGTTGGCCGGTTTGGGGACAGCAATAGATTTGTTATCTAGTTGTTTGGCGGTTTGGCTACAGCAATAGATTTGTTAGCTAGTTGGTTGGCCGGTTTGGTGTCAGCAATAGATTTGTTAGCTAGTTGGTTGGCCGGTTTGGCGACCGCAATATATTTGTTGGCTACTTGGTTGGCCGTTTTGGTGACAGCAATAGATTTGTTAGCTAGGTGGTTGGCCGGTTTGGCGACAGCAATAGATTTGTTAGCTAGTTGGTTGGCCGGTTTGGCGACAGCAATATATTTGTTAGCTAGTTGTTTGGCAGTTTGACTACAGCAATAGATTTGTTAGCTAGTTGGTTGGCCGGTTTGGTGACAGCAATAGATTTGTTAGCTAGTTGGTTGGCCGGTTTGGCGACAGCAATATATTTGTTAGCTAGTTGGCTGGTCGCTTTGACGACAGCAATATATTTGTTAGCTAGTTGGCTGGCCGGTTTGGCGACAGCAATAGATTTGTAAGCTTATTGGTTGGCTGGTTTGGTGACAGCAATAGATTTGTTAGCTAGTTGGTTGGCCGGTTTGGCGACAGCAATAGATTTGTTAGCTAGTTGGTTGGCCGGTTTGGCGACAGCAATATATTTGTTAGCTAGTTGGTTGGTTGGTTTGGTGACAGCAATATATTTGTTAGCTAGTTGGTTGGCCGGTTTGGCGACAGCAATAGATTTGTTAGCTAGTTGATTGGCCGGTTTGGTGACAGCAATATATTTGCGCTTTAACTTTCACAGCTTGAATTTTTTCACTTTTGTTATAAATTAATCAGAAAATTAGATAACAGCTATGTATCTTGAACATTGAACAATGTGGCCTAGTTCCTCAGTATAAACAGAGTTATTGCTCGTTATACCTTTGTGATGTCAAATTGCACAGAACTTGTGCACACAACTTTGTATGGCAATGGATCTGAGGAGTTTAGAGTATGACGTACAAATAATAGGGTCACGTGCCTCAATCAATACAGAGTTATGGCTCGTTGTACCTTTTAAATATCAAAGATTGTTCAGAGCATGTTCACCAAAATTCGTATGCCTACTGTATGCATTGTATCTGAGAATGATAGAGTATCGCACACCAAACTTTGGTCTCGTTCCTCACTGAGAGGTATGGCCTCTTGTTAACTGTTAGTATCGATGTTTGTCTGGAACTTAAAATTCTTGCTACAACTTTTACATCCATTATTCCTTAGACTTATACATCTTGGTAAAGCGGTGTATGACGCACTAATTTCACGTCCTACGAGAAGCTACCACCTTCTATGATGTGCTTTTGAGCAATGCCGCTAAATATTAGATTCGAGTTCCGCGTAAAATTGTCGTTACCTTATTTGATGTTATCGGGGTCCAAATATGTAACTAACCGAGGTACTGTATTTACAACTTAACACCTTGTTAATATAATACTAGCAAATCCAACTACAGCATCAGAACATAATGAACGCACTCAGAAGTCAAATACGATAAAAAAGTAAAACAGGAATCAGGTGACATGCTTCATAATAAAAGGGAAGACTGATATCCCGCTTTTTAGCGGCTTCATCTTCAGGGAGAAATTGGGATCGCCGTAACTCAAATGTCAAACCTAGTAGGTTATATAAATCACACCGGATACAATTTTGTAAGGGCTAATTCGATGCTTTACACCGATTATATGAAAAAAAACCCACGGAAGTTGAGTGATAAAGTAACGACTTATCTTGGTGTTAAGTGACAGAGAAAGACAAACATTAAGAGATAAAGTGACGTACATTTCCCGAGTAATGTGATTTGGTAAGACGAGCATAAAGTTATAAAGTAGAATAGGAGTTATGTTATAAAGTACAGCGGATTTACCTGATGAAGAAAAGGGAGGTACGTTATAAAGTAACACTGAAATTATGTGATAAAGTGACAGCAGAGTTTAGTTAGATCAAGTTACACCACTGATAAAGTGATACGGGAGTATATGATATAAAGTAACACAAGATCTTATTCATAAAGTGAAAGTGGACCAAGAATAAATTTATCTTGCTTTCTTTTGATCATTTTAATTTTACACCTTTGTTTTACGATACATCAACTTATTTTCTTTGAACTTGTAAAACTGAACTTAAGACATAAGATTTCGCTGCGAATGAAAATGTTGGACCAATATCTCAAAGCCCGTAATAGACGCCTTTGTAGAGACATTATTATCATATGGCAACTCCACGAATGCTTTCGGAAACCATTTAACAGTTTGAGCAACGTCTAACATATACGACGGCGGACAATAATTTAGATATTTCAATAAGATTCATCAGTTTGGAAATATGTGATATCAAAGTTTTACTTTCTACACAAACGATGTACGTATTAAACGTGTCGCAACTGTTATTGGAAGTCCTGTGTCACCCATAGTCGCGAATCTGTTCATGGAACACCTAGAGCAGACCAACATTAGATCGGCACTCATAGAATGCGGCCCCAAACTTTGGAAACGATGTATAGAAATAGTCAAAAAGGGAGCAGTGCAGGACCTAACAGACCACATGGACCAAGTGGACAAAACAAATTCCATTAAATTTACCCACGAGGAGGAAAAAGACGGAACCATACCAATTGCTCATTGTCCGCAAAAAACGGCACGATCAAACTTTAAGTGTACCGCAAACCGACACACACTGATCAATATTTGTCCTTCAATTCCCACCATCCACTACACCAAAATCTTGGAGTCGTATGTTCACTTCTCGACAGAGGCCACAACATCATAACAAAGCAGGACGATCGACACAGGGAAGAACAGCACATAAAAGACGCACTCAACCGTTGTGGCTACACCCAATTAACAAGGTAAAAAGAGCTGTAAAATAAAAGACAGAAAATAGTACAACGACACAGAAAAAAGTAATGAGAGCAAAACCAAAAGCAAAGGATGGGTCACTATACCCTACGTGAAGGGGACATCTGAGACATTTGCCATTTCAGCACACCGATGAGACCACTGACAACCCTCAGACAGTTACTGGTGCACCCCAAAGACTTAAGACAAAACAGGAGTTATATATCAAATTCCATGCAAAAATTGTTAGCAGTCATATATAGGTGAAACTGGGAAGAAAGGTAACATCAAAAAATCAAAAAGGACGTAGAGAAAATGAGCAACATCATATTCACCAGATCCACACGCAAAACATCCGCCACCCAGTACAATAAATCGGCATTAACAGATCACTCTAACACACAAAATCACTTCGTCGATTAGGACAATGCCAAGATAGTTGAAAGGAACAACACACGAAAACGAGACAAATCAAAGAAGCAATCAAAATCAGGAAACCACAGAACATGAACCGAGACGAGGGGGTCACCAGCTGAGTCATCTGTTTGATCTTATACTGACATAACAGGGGAGGTGTATACCCTACCCGGTACCTATCTGATGCAGTGTGTATACGCTCCCTATCGATAGGCGAAACGTCTCGGGTCGAGTGACATGAACAATATACAAGTTCATCAAATCGTTGTACAGGTAAAAAAATATATACAAATCTCTCACTCACTCATAGCTTGACAAAGGGACCAGTCGGTCTTGCAACGTAGCGACACGTTTAATACGTACATTGTTTGTGTAGTAAGTAAAACGTTGATATCAATGTAAAACTGATATAAGAAGCTTGTGAATCCCATTATTTGTTTCTTTATTGATTGATTGCATCGCATTTCTACATATGAAGATGTATACAAAACCTTCTGACCTAATTAACCTTTATCGTAAAGATACTAGTATTATCATTTGTGAACACATAGGTTCCGACACGGCATGTATGAATCACGGAGGACATTGTCAGGATGAGAGCACTTCCTGTTCCGGTAACTACGTCAGCAATTTGTGTTCGGGATCTGCATCCAGAAGATGTTGTTTGCCGTCTGCGTCATCAGGTATTGATCACAAACTGCACGTGTCTCAAGTTGTCACCAGCAGATAACAGTCTGTTCTAATGCTGATTATGTATTAGAGATTGCAATCAAATAGCTATCCAATTAATATCAGAATTGCTTATTTTCAGAACCTGTATTCTATTTCTCTAAACCTTTTATGTTTTGTTTTAGAGAAATTCTGTTCCCATCGATTTTGTCAAATCGATCAAATAACTTATCCCATTTAGTCGCGTCATTTGTTCTTGTCAATATCTATCAGCGATTGAAATATAAGGATAAGTAGGAAATATAAGACCTTGAACATTCCTATAACCCAACAAAATAGAACTCTGACTGAACCTTCCGGTAGTCCCTAAAGAACCATATGTGGATCGCTAAGCCTTGCAAATGACATTTAAGAAGAACTTGTAGAAACCCAAATCGTCTTATATTCCCACACGGTAAGTACAGTTTGTGCCAAAAAATTCGCTAGATGACTTTTGTTTATTAATAGAAATACGTTCTTGTGATAGCAGCAAACATACATCAAGCTGTATACACCATGTCTATTCCCCGAACCAGCAAAGGTTGATGTCATATTTCTGATTGCCCATTCAGGTCAATGTTCCGATATTGGAGGCAAATGTCAGGATGATCATCTGTACTGTACCGGATCTTACGTCACAGGGAAGTGCAGTGGAGATGCTACTAATCGTTGCTGCACATCGCATCACATAGGTACTGTCAATATTTTATATTTGTCAACATTTTATTCAAATTGGCATTTTATTTTGCCAGTTTTAGTTAAGTTACACTATAAATTATTACGTGTGTTGTAGGAGGAACTGATCAATCGATTTGCGATAACATAAAAGTTATTTCCCGTGATACTTGGGGTGCGACAAGGCCAACCCACGTGACTACATTAAATCATCCCGTACACTTGTTCTTTGTACACCATACGGAAGGTCGAACGTGTCATAACGAGGCTGAGTGTGCTAGCGTACTCAAAGGTGTTCAGAACTACCACATGAACTCCAGAGGTAAGTGTTCCACATTTTCAACATGAAAAGCAGTGGTAAGTACCACACCAGAATCAAGCTCCGGAGGTGAGTATTGCACATTGATCGTATGATCTCCGGAGGTGACTACAACCAAACTACTACCTAATCTCATACGGTGCTTACCGCAAAACTCAAATGTATTTTAAAGGTGCATATCGCAAAACTACCACATGAACTCAAAGAAGGGGCTGCACACGGCCCCATTGTTAAGCGCAATAATACAAAATGGAGAACTGATTGTCTTTTTGTAGTGAACACGAACAATTAGGCTAGCATTTCTGTCACAACAGCAACTCGTGTTGTTTTCACGGAAAGTGTGATTGTCCACGTTTTCCTTCCTTCATCTATTGTAGGACTTATGTTATGTTAAGAGTCTTAATAGGATATGTAATAGTACAGACCTGAATTCAATCAACTAAACCAGCAAAACTGCCTCGTACAAATATTTTCAAAGTAATACAGATATATCAAAAGAATTACACAGTTTGCTTAAAAAACGTACATTGCAAAAAAAATTAACGTTACTGATTCTTTCAAAACATTAACGAATTCCATCAAACTATGGCGATTCACATCAAATATTGCTGAATCCTAAAAAGCATTACCGATTTTTAAAAATCGTGACTGAATCCAATAAACATCGCTGAATTCATCAAATCATTACTAATCTCAAAGAATATCACAGAATACCATTAAACATTACTGAATATATGCTGTTAAACATTACAGAATACCATGAAACAGTGGTTAATCCCATTAATTATTGCAAAATACCATTAAACATGATAGAATATAATTGAACACTACCGAATCCCATAAGACGTTGTTGAATCATATGCTTTTAGTTTTCCCTTCTTTAAGGCTTTTGTATCATGACACCTCTTGAAAGCGTCTTGGTATAGATATGGATTAATTACTGTGTTCACTCGGCTCCTCTAATGCTCTGAGCCGTTAACAATTTAAAACGATCTGGTTTGCTCATGTTAATGTCTTTATAATGTTGTACTGTAAATACGAAAATTAAACTATGTATCATACGCCAACCAAAATATACTGTATTGATTTAAACGTTTAATTATTATACAGAATTGAGTTGACCGATGTTTTGACAACAAGTCCTGATTTTATGTTAGAGTATTTTGAAATGTGTGACTGCAGTCTATAACATCATTGACAGGGTTTATGATGAAATGGGCACTTACCAAACCCGAGCAAAGCAATGCTGTCCGGTTTAACCACTGAACTCTCCAGTCAACATTATCTCTCTAATAATATTTTGATCGAAGAGACCAGCCAAATCAGATCTCGTTTTGAAAATGCATCCCTCAACCACACGGAAAATATATATGGCTTGATTAACGCAATCCCCCTCAGTGTTTGAGAGTGGATTTTTATGGATTTCCGTAGATTTCTTTGGCTTCCGGGAGTAAACATATCACTTACAGGTTACAAGTAACCACAATTTCCTCGTTTATTATGGACGCAAAAATACTAATATCCGACATAGGTGAGTCTTAAGTGGAATACGATGCTGAACACAAAATGAATTGTGAATATTTTTGCCAGTTTAAACATTTTTGGTAATATTTCGTTTCCGGTACATACTTGTTGATTCCCATACTCCCTTCCGTCTACACAGGCTACAGCGACATCGGCTACAGCTTCCTGATTGGTCAAGATGGACGTGTGTATGAAGGAAGAGGTTGGGGCGTGGTCGGCGCTCATACGTTGCACTACAACTCACTGGCTTACGCCGTCTCCTTTATGGGGAACTTCATGAACTCACTGCCACCAGCAAGCGCCCTTAACGCCGCCAAGGCTCTCGCGCAGTGTGGGGTCAGCAAAGGTCATATCCAAAGTGGTTACAGTTTGTTTGGCCACCGTGACGTAGGAAACACGGACTGTCCAGGAGACCAACTGTATGCAGAGATAAGAACTTGGGGAAGATATAACATCACCCACTCGTCGACCATACACTGAGTCTTATGTGTAATTTCATTTTACGTCGAAGAGAAATAAACAGGAAAAGACAACATATTTTTATCGTTATGCATGTGATATAAATAATAATGGAGTTTTTCCATGTCGTCTTAAATCATCAGTAAACCACACCGTCAACACAAAAGGACAATACAAAGGTCCTTATTTATGAAACCATTCTCATACTCAAACTCAGATTCTGTTCTTAATCTAAATTTATTTGGCAGTGGATACATTGGTAAAAGTTAAGGTTAGTCAATGAATATGGATGAATCTCGGGAAAAGTTAAAGCTGGATGCTGGTTTCTATGTAAACACTTGACTTTTTGACCGTATCATCTGAATTAAGCCATTTGCAAGAAAGCACGGTTTCATAAATCGAGTAGTGCATGAGCCAGACTTAGACAGTTTGGCCACCGGTACCATTCGAGGTGAAAAAAATACTTAGTACAATTCTTGACAAGGTGTGTATCTCTCGAGACAAAAACCATCTGATAGCGTCTCTCAATTATGGCAGCTGATTGTAGTTTTAGCGTTTTATTACCCCTTCCCGATTTTTGTTATCTGAAACTGCTAAACAATACATTCCGTTTCAAAATACAATTTTAAGTGGGAGTTACTTAGTTCTAATTACCAGCATGATTTCTTAACTGACACAGGGTAAAATGTAATTATTATTGCTATGACACCAGAATAGTTAAAAACAATAGTACAGTAGGGATTGAGCATCAGCACCAGGCGAGTAAACATCCTGTTTAAGCTCCAGTGGGATTTTGCTATGGGTACATACACTAGTCTAATGTGTCTTAAATGATCATTGTCAGGGTAATTGGTGCCATATGCCTGAAATGATTTGTTCACATGATTAGTACAACTCCTATTAAAAATATCAAAAATATCTTTATGCAGACTTATTCTTTTACAAGACGATTGAACTCTCCATAGGTACATATTGTCACTACAATAACATAATCTTAAATTAATTGTTTAAATGAAGTTCATTTAATCTCTAGAGATTTAAATGTAGAGCATATAATATCTAGGGATTTAAATGCAGAACATAAAATATCTAGAGATTTAAATGCAGAACATATAATATCTAGGGATTTAAATGTAGTACATATAATCTCTAGAAATTTAAATGTAGTACATCTATAATCTAGATATTTAAATGTTCTACACATAATGTCTGGAAACAAATGTCGAAGTCTTCTAATAGACATTGTTTTTGAAAAGACACATTTGTATGGTTAGAGCAATTTGCATTGTTTTTGAAAACTAACCTCGACGTTTCTGATCACCGTCGTCATTAACAGCAAATATATTGAGGAATAACTTAGGTTACAATGTCTCAGAATCATTCTGCCTAGAGAAGATGAGAGATCTTGTTTAGGCCGGATGAAGAATAAATCCCTATCTATTTGCCCTTATAGAAAAGATGTTTTCTAAGATCATCACTAAAATTGTCAGCAACTTACTGTCTTTTTCCATCAATTAGACCATCATTATTGAGATGAGTTGTCTGGAAACAATTTTACATAATAAAAATTTATATATATGATCCCCGTGCGATATTCTTCCAAATGCTTTGTTGATGTCACAGAACAAAACAAATTGGCTTCTTTACATTTGTCTTATTGATCAACTATTTTATCATTTATAATCGGTAGTCCTTATATCTCAAGATTAAAAACCTGACAATTATATGTCTAGAGATACTTAAACACGTGTATACAGCTTGTTTTTCAACAGTTTTACCAAACAATAGCAGTTGCAGATACAGATTTGGTCACTCCAATACCTCTGTCAATGTACATCGATACACAAGGGAGCAATCTTGTAGAAAAAATAGGATTAAATATAAGACTGAGAGATCTCACAAGTGGCAGCTAGACTCCTGTTTTAATAGGGTGTATATCAGTACATGTGGGTTGGTTACTGGTAGTATTTGGTAAACTGAACTTGTCAATGAATCACGTCTAAACATTTAACTTTGTCAGTTGTATGCATTTAAAATCGCAATTGATACCAACAGGAGAGTCACTATTATTCTTAAATTTTAGCTCACCTGCCCGAAGGGCAAGTGAGCTTATGCCATGGTGCAGCGTCCGTCGTCCGTCCGTCCGTCAACTTTTCCTTTAAAACGCTACTTGTCCTGAACGGCCCTGTAGATTTTGACCAAATTTGGTGAGAAGCATCTTTTGGGGAAGGGGAACAAATGCGTATAAATGGTGGGTGTGGCCCACCTGGGGGCTGAGGGGCGTGGCCCAATAGGGGAAATATAGCAAATTGTTCAGAATCCTTCTTCTTCTGTAGGTATGAAAGGATTTGTTCCATATTAAGTCTGAATCATCCTTGGGTGAAGGGGAACCAATTTTGTATAAACCGTGGGTATGGCCCCGCAGGGGCCTGAGGGGTGGGGCCCAATAGGAGAAACAAAATAAAATTCTTTAAAATTCTTCTCATTCTGTAGGAATAAAAGGATTTGGTCCATATTTGATCTGAAGCATTCTTGTGTGAAGGGGAACCAATTTTGTATAAATGGTGGGTGTGGCCCCCCTTGGGGCTGAGGGACGGGGCCCAATAGGGGAAACATAGCAAATTAGTCTTTAAAATCCTTCCTCTTCTGTCGGAATGAAAGGATTTGGTCCATATTTTGTGTGGAGTATCCTTGGGTAAAGGGGAACAATTTTTTGTATAAATGGTGGGTGTGCCCCCCCCCCCCCTTGGACCTGAGGGGCGGGCCCGATAGAGGAAATAGAGGTAAAACTTTTAAAATCCTTCTTCGATCATCGGGATTAAGGGATTTTATCCTAATTTGGTCTGGAGGATCCTGTGGCCAAGAGGACTCAATTTTGTATAAGCAGTGGGTGTGGTCTCCAAGGGGGCATAAGGATGGGGTCCAATAGGGGAAATAGAGGTAAATCTTTAAAATCCTTCTTCTAACATAGTGATGAAGGGATTTCTTCCCAATATGGTCTGGAGAATCTTGGGCAAAAGGGACTCAATTTTGTATAAACAATGAGTGTGGCCCTCCTGGGGGCAGATTGGCGGGGTCATTAGGGAAAACATAGCAAATTCTTCAAAAACCTTCTTATTCTGTACGAATGACAGGATGTTGTCAAAATTTGCTATGAAGCATCCTTTGGTGAAGGGGAACAAATTCTGTATAAACGGTGTGTCTAAACCCCATGGAAGCTGCGAAGCGGGGCCTAATAGGGGAATTAAAGGTAAAGCCTTTAAAATCCTTCTTCTACCATAGGGATTAAGGGATTTTATCCTAATTTAGTCTGGAGCATCCTTGAGCAAAAGGGATTCAATTTTTGATAAGCAGTTGGTGTGGTCTCCTAGGGGGCAGAAGGGCTGGGCCCAATAGGAGAAATAGCGGTATAACCTTTAAAATCCTTCTTCGAACATCGGGATTAAGGGATTTTATCCTTATTTAGTCTTGAGCATCCTTGGGCCAAGGGGATTTAATTTTGTATAAACAGTGGGTTTGGCCCCCCCCCCCCCACCCCCCCTAGGGGCATAGGGGTGGGGCTCTGTTTGAAGTTTGTTCTCGCTATATCTCAAGTACTGGATGGATCTTTCTGAAAATTCATATGTACTTACAGCACCTACCATTGAGTGCTATATCTTTACTTCATACCAATTATTTTAAACACATTCAGGTGAGCGATACAGGCCCTATGGGCCTCTTGTTAAGTTTCATAATTTATTTAGCAACACTACACCGATTTCCGATCGGAATGAATTTGTCCTGAAGTGCGGATTGCGGTTTTGCTAAGCATTTTCTTTAAGCTCTCGAATTAAGAAAACTACATTTATAATCGTTTAAAAAGAACTTCTCATAATACGTTTATAAACATTCTATTTTTAGTCCAGAATGTCTAAAAGTTATTTGAAGACTGATTTCATTATTCGTCTTTATTTTGTCATTGGGTTTAATATTTACTTTGTTTGGGATATATAAAGATCTATAGCAGATATGAGTTATGAGTACGAATGCATCAGTCTTCTCATATGAAAATATAGATAGAAGTTTTGAAATCAAGACAAGTGTTGATTTGACAGTGGCCAATACAACAATGATGGTACACACACACACAAAAAGGAATTGTAAATTATTAGGTAATCAAGCGATGATGAGGAAAGAGGAATAATCCTGGTAGGGTCGAAAACAGTATTTATTATTAAAATACATTAAAATGGTAACCTGATGAAAAAAATATACTATTGATTATTGTCACTTACGTATTTTTTAAATGATGGCGTCACTACTATGTTTTTCTTACTTGTGATATTACCTTGATTCGACAAAGATTCACGTGACAGGTGTCACCGATGAAGTGTAAGTTCGACTTACAGTTTCGTTTGCATCGGAATTATCTCGGAGGTTTTAAACCGACTCAATTTACCTCATAGCACAATTATATAATTGATTCATTAACTTCTGATTGATACTTAACTATGCCTTCTTGATAATTTATTAGAGTTTTTATGAATCGTAATGTCTGGGAATCGTAAACGTGTATTGTAGGAAGCATTAAGTAGCGCTTGACTATGTTGTAACTGGTACGTACCATTTTGTTATGTTGCTGTTATATTTTGACTCCCTACACATCGTTTGTTACATACTTGCACGCCTACACCAAACACACGGAAGCACCTCCTTAAATGACCATAGCTGTTGATAGGACGTTAAACTGTACAATCAACCAACCAACTCTACTCATCGTGTTTTCGCTTAGACGTAACGGGTAAAAACAACAGCGAAATCACGCAAATAGCAAGTGATCCTTAAACGATTCGACATATGTTGTTTCGCTTATCATCGCTGCAATATATAACGACAATCTATGTTATTGCTATCTTCCAAATTTTCACTGTTATTCCTGCGAAATATAACTAATATTTACGTTTTCGCTCCGGTAATTGTATTTTTTAAACCTTCTGAATGTAAATGCTCTTTGAAATTTTCAATCGCCATTTTTTTTCAAAAAGAAAGACAGAAATAAAATCTATTCTGTCTCAAAGGTATACTTCCC